AAAAAAAAAAAAAAAAATAATGAAACTTTACTATACATTACCCTCTAACATTTAAAAGTATGCTCCATATACTAAGCTGTGTAGAAAAAACTATATATTTGAAAATATTATACACAGATACTCACCTGTATTTTCTAACAGCGTTTTCGGCGTATTCGGTCTGTTGATTATATCGATAAGCTGGGTCAAAATTAATGGAATATATGCACTTGTATCAGAACCTAAAAAAGAAAAAAGAAAATACATTCATATACATACTCTACCAGAGAGTTTTGTGATGCTTCAATAGATTACATCTTTAAAGCAGTTTACCGAGTTTTATAGCTATTTCACCGATAGTCCATGTTGCATTATTACATACAGATATAAACTCAGGATTTAAATTCTGTCCAAGTATAGGCATAAATTCCGCTATAAATAAAATTAACAAATGAACATACTGAACTCATATAAACATAATGAACGTTAATAAACGTAATAAACTTACTATGTAATTACATAACAAAAATACTCACGTATGCACGGTAGAACATGTTGGAAACAGGCCTTTGTAAGGTCCCCTAATAAGGCAAAACTGCTTTGTCTAACTTCAGGCATAACATCTTGCATACACTGATACAGCAGTTGCATTACATTACTGTTCATTACTAAGCGTTCCATATGACAATCCAACCCTTCTGCTAAGCCACTAAGAAGGTCTAATGCAACAATCATAAAATCTTTATCAGGGGCCTCAAATTGTTCTGGACTCTGTGTATTTGCTATGTGTTGATTTAGCGTCTGCTCTACGAGGGATACACACCGCCTATTAAAAAAAAAAATAAATAAATAAATAAATAAACATAAAGATTTAAATACACTATCAAATCTACAAAGATAGAGGTTAATGAAACCTACCTATACACGGGTTCGCAATAAGGAAGGAAACCAGATCGTAAAGCAGTCGCAATTGAAGAAAGGCATTCTAATAATGGGAAAAGGTCTTTGTCTTCATCTTTTAACACATTCCACTTATTAATAAGTGGTGGCATAAGAAGGTTAATGTAATCTGGTTTATTAAGATGATGTCCTACTGAATCAGCAAGTGTACCAATTGCATCGTACAATATTAAAAGATTTTTATGTTGATATTTGCCTGCATACATAAGAATGATTAGTAAAACAATAAGCGTTTGTCCAATGTAACGGTAGTGTAAGAGCATATTTACCAAAAGCAAAAACAAGCGTTTCAAGAATAAATCCAAGATAAGGGACTAGTTCTGTACATGCTTCCTCTTCTAACGTTGCAAAAGCAGAACATGCTGCTTCCTGGACACGTTTATTGCCATCAAGTACTCGTTTCAGTAATTCAGTCATTAAAGGTTTCAAATGTGTATCATGTGGTTGCGCACAAACCCAATGTGCGTAACGACTTAATGTCCAGCAAGTAATAGCGCGTACTAGTGCTTTTTTGTCGCTTAAGCAACTAATTAAATATGGAATTAATTCTGATAAATGTGGAATCATTCCACTCATACAACCTGCAATAGTATATTACTCATTAAATTACGATTTAAACCCATATAAAATGGTGTAATGTATCAATGATTGTTACGAAAAGAACCTTCTGCTATAGCTCCCAGTGCTAATATTCCAGACTCTTTGATTACCCAATCTTGATGGAAAAGCGTTTCTTTCAAAATTGGTACTAGAACTGGTAATAATTCTTCTCTAAATACGTTTGCCAACATATCTAAAGCAGCAGCAGAACATTTTCTTAAATTCCAGTCACTAAGTGACGTATCGTCATCACATCCATCTTCAGCATCTGTGTCTTCTTCATCACAACCTCCGTTTTCGTTTGAGTGCTTGTTCATATTACCATGATGTGAATGGTGTGTTTTTGACTTTGGAAATCTTGGTCTGATATCTTCTTCTCTATCTGGGATCATTTCATCTTCTTCCACATCCCCCTTTAGAAGTATTATATCAATGTCTGAGTATTTCATACCCCTTACCTATGAAATTGTAATGCATTATAAATTTATCAGTTTTCCGTGACATTTGCTTTAAAACTCACTTTATTTTGTGATTACCTACCAATACAGGTACTAAACGAGGTAAATGTGGTGCAAGTGCTTCTTTACATATTGGTTGCTCAGCTAATGAAAGCCAAAATTCACAAGCTTCTAAAGCGACTCCCTCATCAAGATCTTGCGTCCTCATTAACATATATTCTATTATGTTATGCATATGTGGTATTAATCTATCCATTCGAACTTCAAGCAACATAACCAGAGCCCTATAAAACCATAAATATGATATCATACAAGATATTGTATATATCTTATATCTTATATCAATATAAAAAAAGAAAGAACGCAATTATACCTGCATACGTTCTTTCTGACTTCTGGATCATCATCATTAGCTAAATGGAAGAGATTTTCCAGGAAGCTATCTATATGAATCATCAAAGCCTGTGTACGATTAACAATAAACTGATTAACACAGGCAGTAGCATGTGATCTAATTTTAGGGCTTGAATGTCTAAAAAATTGCAGGAACTTTGGGATTAAAACATTTAATGGTCGATTAAGTGCATCAGAATCTAAAATTTCTGCAGAATCTTCACAGATCTTTTGAAGAGCACCAAATGCACCCTCACAAACATTATAGTCTTGTGAGTCTAACATTTGACAAAGTGCAGGTAACAATTCCGGCCATCTAGTTAATTCACCTATTAGAAACAAGATTTAGTAATTTTCTGAAGCTATTTGATAGTTATTTCTACTAAATAATAACTATACCTTTGGATGCAATGGTAGTTATTAAAATACCAACAGTTGCACGAATCAGAGGTGATGAATCTCCAACTGCAGATAAACATTCTTGTTTGATGAAATTTGTAACCTCTGGTAAAAACTTATAAAAATGAGCTTTAACGTTATTTTTCAAAATCAGTCCACTTAAAGACCTCGTAGGTTCATCTTAAAAAGGAAAAACAATTGAATTAAAAAACCTATCTTTACAGATAAAAATTATTAAAGGTTACATCAAAAGTTATATTTGAAATACGTACCCTCTGATGTGAGTTTTGTTAAAACAAAAATAAGGTAATTGTTGAAGTCTGGAAATTTGTTTAATTCTTCCAATTTCTAAGAAATATTGATAAGAAAAAGTTCTAAGAATAAGTGTGCATCAAAGTATAACAATTGATCAATTTTTATTAAAATAAAAAGGAATTGCATATTTGTATAATTATCGTTTGTTGTAATACTATTACTATTACATAATAAATGTGAATAGATATTCTATTTACATTCAATACATTAACACAGAAAATAAATTGCAACATACCACACAAAATATATCACAAATTTTCTATTATATGAATGAACAAATTTATTATAAATATATAAAACTGTTTCAATTATAAAATCTTTGCTCAAAATTTTGATTACATATAAATGCATACATACATATATATGTACATAATATAGTACGAAAAATGTGTAAAAAAATCCAAGTTTAAGTTTAAGTTCTGTTAACTTAACATTTATTGCCAGCTGCAATTCCCAACAGATACATTTCATTAACATCCGTTTGTGTATGTCATTTCCAGTCTGTTTAATTAATATTATGGCCGAAACTATATACAAGATTTATCGATTACGGCGTCAAGAAAACAAACTCGTCACCGACAGTAACGGCATTTCCGACGCGCCCCGCGACAGATATCATGTATCGTTAACATATTTCTTGGCGCTTGAGTATAACTCACGTGTTATTCGAGAAAAACTTATCAACTTATGTCGACCTACTCTTACCGAGTCTAATATTAATAGCAGAATGATTTCCTAAAAAGTAATGTGAACGACTACGAAATGGCTTTCCCGATCATAAAAAATCATATTAGTTACAACAAGGTGTCTCAACAGCTTTTCAATCGAACCGTAGACGACAAAAAAGGGGATTCGTGACAGGCTGCGCAAAAGCGCGCCGAACATTTACCCATCTTACATCAAATAGAATATTTCGATAGCCTTGATATCTGTTGAGACTCCTTTCTACGTCTTTTTAATGAAATTTCCAACGCTATTTAAAAGGAGCAGAAAATTTTATCGCGACGAAAAGTACGCCCCTTAATTGACCTAGCCGCTTCACTTCGTTACCGCGTCGCGGGTGTACTCACCGGGAACAAAAATCTCTGGGACAAATTTTTTTTCCAAAGCACTAAACGAATTTTGATCAAATATGAAAGGATACTTCTTGTACAGCTCGTTGAGTAGCCGTATCCGGGCTTTGAGACTCCTTGAGGAGCGTCAAGATTTGCCGAAGTCCTTCCTCTTGCGGTTGCCACGCCATTTTCATCGTGTTTTTCAACAGCACCACTGAACGCAGCCAGCCTTCTCTGACCTCACAGATAAACGGAAGCTCCCCACGGTTGCCCCCACCATCACGCCACGAAAGCATTAAGATACCGGCCTGTCACACCAGAATTCTTTAGTTAATTTTCTCTAGGTTGTACTGTCAGGCCCGCGATTAATTGTTCAGGATAATTAGGTGGATATTTAACATCGTTTCGTAACGATATTCCATTTTCGGTTAATTCATCCAGATAGACAATTGAACGTTTTTGGTACTTAGCAGACGAGCTCTTCCGGCGACAGCAGTGACATCGATCGGCCTCCTGTTTCGATTTGTATTAAGCTATGCAACGTTTTTCAAATTTAACGTTATTCCGTGGGATGTATGATGTTGGCCGTTAATGATTTAAAAGATTGAAATCGTTAATGGTACGAGGTATTTGTTTCTTAAGCAAATCTTGAAAGAATTAAGAATTAGGAATAATTACACTACTGTTTAGCGGCTGAATTTCAAATGTAGAAAGACACGCTATTTATGGTAGCGTGTATTTTAATGATCTGTTGTGTTTAATTGATCAATTATAATGAAACAATATGTTTACTTATTCTATGATATATTTTGAAGTAAACATATAGGAGAAAAAACAAAAACTATAGCAAAGCATTTATTAAATTTTATCATGTATACATATATATTCTTGTAATTTCATTCGTTTATTAAAATTTGTGGGATATATACCATAGAAAAGCGAAATGCTTATAGAAATCATTAATTTATCGACATATTTATGCATATTGGATTTGCGATCTCGGTCTCCAGATTTCAATTCCTTCTGTACCAGAAACTGCGAGGACGTCATTTAAATAATCCGTCTACAAGATAAAAAAAATTAAATTTATATAATTAAAGTTCATAAAAATCTTTATTTTGAGCTACTCACACTAGCTATTTCACCATAACTAGACTTTAAGGTAGTGAGATGTTGTGGAGGATCAGTAGGACTGGAAATTCGAACCGTTTGGTCCATAGAACTCGTAATCAAACATCCAGGTGTAGAATGAACACCATTGATACCTTTCTTATGTTCGGTGGTGTAACATTTGACACGTTTAAAATCATTTCTTGGATCAAGTACATGCAGTTTTGCACTACCATCTCCTACATAAATCATGTCCCGTTGCATGCACATACTCATAGGAAATGATTCCTGGGAAATCTAGAAAGCATTCCTTTTGAATTATGCAAATCTTGACTATGTTTTTGTAGAACATTTTATCTTTTTATTCTTTAACATTTTTACCGTGACATTTTTCATAATTCTCCCTGCTCTTTGATCCCATATAGACACTGTCCTGTCCTCACTAGCCGATAGAATAAAGTGAGAACTCATAGCCAGTTTAATGACTGCTCTTTTATGTGGTTGGTAATTTATAATGGGTTTGCATAATCTTGAATCAAACACTAATATAGTTTTACAAAATGATCCTGTAGCAAAAAGACCTAACTCTGGGCATGATGCAACACACAATAAAGCACCTCCGACGATCCTAAAAAATTAATAACGTTTCTATAGGAAATTCTATTTTATGAAAATGATGCAGTATTTTGCGCAGTCACTTCTGGCAGAGCGAGTGAAAGCAGAGTCTTTTACTTGATAGCATTTTTCAAAATACCTTAAAAAAGTTATGTTTGCAATTTAACACTATTTTTGTTGAATGTACATTAACGTCTAACTATCTCTTATGAACAAAGATATTCGTGCCTTCCTCGCTCGGCCTTCCCATAACAAGAGCAGCGAAAATGACCAGCTTGGTTTTCATGTACATCTCATAAGTTTTGAAGTGAGCAAGACCGGTGCTAGTAAGCGTCCATGCTTTGACACTTTGATCCCAGCTGCAACTATAGACTGTATTATCTATTGCTGCTAGATCCCAAATCCATCCATTATGAGCAAAGTCTATACTCGTGTAACTTTCTCTCTCGTTTTCTTTTGTAGAAAGCTTCCAACATACTAAGGATCGATCTCTAGCTCCTGATATACAAATATTTCCACCCTGTGTACACATATTAATGTATTGTAAAATTATAAAGGCATAACATTGAATGAATATTATAAAATATTATACTAGCCTGCATTAATAACAAGCCATCGATAGTACTGTATTGTACATTATTAAGTGATAACTTCTCCATAGTGACATTTTCTTTTCTCCATAATGATGTTTGTTTTTCTAATGCAACACATGATAACTTCCAAAACAGTTCATCATCTTCAACTTAAAAAAAAAATATAGTTTCAATGAGGAAGATATAAATGATTGTCAGCAAACATTATTAATATGTAAGAGAATACATTTTAAGTAGAAAGTTAAATGCAATGTTGTTAAATATTAATATAGCTTTTTATAAATTTTTGTAAATCATATTTTTCCATGTTAACCAAAATATGATTACTTGCAAACCAGTCTCATTATAAAATGTAGTATGTGAAAATTTGATTTTAAGTTAATGTTTTTTATCGTGAAAAACGTAAACTAAAACTAATTATTGGATACAGTAATAGATGGTGTTTTATTTATTTACAGAATGATTGGTTGTGCAAGGCGCAAGGTGCTATCAATTTGAGCTAACCAGGAGGCAAGACTGGATAACCAGTATCTGGCCAAATCTTAGTAATCCTCACTTTCCACAGTGAGTTGTCATTTAAAATTTGATGAAATTGTTTGCACACTAAACTCAAGCCATGTACTAATGTAGATGCATCTAGGAAGGAACAGATGTGAAGAAATATCTGAAATATAACAACGAAAATATATTAATTACTATTAGAAAATACACATACTTTCTACTGAGGACCCATTTAAATGTAGTTTTATGTTCGTACATAACATCACAGTCGGATTTTTAAATATGCTGTGCAAAGTATTTAAAAATGGTATTTAAAAATGGCGTCCACGATTTACTAATGTTTCGATAAAATTTTTCAACGTTCCATTTATTTTTTAAAGTAGTTCGTTACAGATCGCTGCTAAACGAGTTTATTCAGCTTTCTACGGTTGCTTGATGTATATCTCTCCCATCATGTTTATTTACGATATTTAAATGTATTTAAATAACACCCATTTCATTGTTTGTAAACAGTCGATATACATAGCATATAATATTCTTTACAAGTTATTGTATTATATTAATCAAACATATTGGCTAAAATATATTCAAACAACTGTTACTCTATAAATATTATTAAAAAAATAAAAATTTTTTCAATTATTTCAAATAATACTAACTTTTAACGTATATACATATGCTTTTTAGAATACACATTTCTTTGATTAATCAAAAGTACGTACGTATAATATTTATATTTTATGTATAATATTTATCTATACAAACCTCGACTGGAAGATCTGATAGAGATAATTGGGGGTTCGTTTGATCGGTATCAATTCGAGTACAACTCTCGTTTTCATCGCACATTTTAGTCTAGAAAAGCCAGTGTTGAACGTTACGTTTTTAAACAATATCATTCGATATACTGTTAAACGTTCTAGCGATTCAGCTCGTAATAACAAAAAATAAACGTAATGGTTGCTTTTTACTGACGTTATTATTTACCGTTTTGGTCTCGTGCGCGACACAGCCTTGAATGCGCATGACTCACTTATCACCTCCATTTTCATTCATTTCACAACTATCTCTCAAGAGCAGGGCTGACAACATATATTCGAAGTTTAAATTACTTTTACGTTGATTTTATTATACTTACAAATTATTACAAATCGCTATATATAAAATTTCACAACGTTTACATATCGTTTCCACATATTTCATATAAAAGAAGTATTTCTCTGAATTAACATAATATTTATTAACAATCAATTGACAATCATTAAATTTTAAAATACAATTGTAAACATTCGTTTTTACTTGTTTGAAAAAATATATCAATTCTTATATATTATAAACAATTATGATGCATAAATATAATGATTTTTCTTCACGAAAATATAATTCGAAACCAGTCGAATATATGTACATGTATAACAAACATATCATAAGTACATATATGGCAATTGGGAGGCAATACTTGAAATAAAACAAATTGGTTATTTATATACTTTTTATATCTAATTTTTTTAAGATTCATTTGTACAGTTGCTTTGTATTATTCATTTGTCTATATCTTTTAATTTATAAATGCAGGCACATGTACAATTATAAAAATATCTTTATAAATGTAAATTTATATGCTCTATTGTTTTCTTTGTTCAAAGCTACACTGATAAAAAGAATTATTGTTACACTTTTATATATGCATAAATCAATTAAATACATGTCTCAATGAATGTATTATTATAATAAGTATCATTCTGTATATACAGCATATGAAAATAGATATAAGATATCACATTGACAATATCAATTTTCAATTTACACACAATCATCATGCATTTCAAAGTAATTTGTAAAGTTAATTGTTATAAATGAAAATATTGCACCACTTGCAGATCCTATTTGCATAATTACACCTGCTTTAAAGAGTATATTGGGCAATACTGTAGTTCTAAATACTGATACAATGATTAATTTTAAATAAGAAGTAAGTCCTATCAAAATCACCCATGATATAATAACTAGAAAAATGCCAAGTTTTGTTGCTTGTAATGGTGGAGATGGAGACATTAATGCTAAATATGTAACAAAACTCCCAACGATTAAACATATTACAGATAAGAAATTAATAACTTTTACATTTGATACCTTTAACCAGAATGCTAATAAACACACAAACGGATTTGCAAATTGAGCAAAAGTGATTGATAATTTGTATGCTATACTTCCATAAGGTAAACAAGAGTAAGATTGTATGCTAGGGAAGAAACCATTACTCAAAAAGCAAAAAATACCAAGCAATGTAAATAAATAATTTTGTGTTTGTTTAGTTAGAAGCCTGTCATTATTTATCAAATAATGGTCCACTTTTTGTGTGCCATTAAGATAATGATCATGAGAAACATTTGCTTGTTTCTCATTTAATACTATGCTGCTAGTATTATGAAATTGTTTTGTGTTTTGAACATCCAAAAAATATTCTAAAATAGCAAAAGCAGTTAAAGATAGAAATAAAATAACAGAAATGAAAAGAAAATACACATTTGGGGGAAAATATAGATCAAACGAATGTGGAGATTCTATGTTACTATTATTCTTAAAAATTGCACATTCTAAAGTATCTCCAATTCCCTGGATTAAAGCAATAACACTTGGTAGTACACCACTTAATCCTTCTCCTATAAAGTAGGATGTTAAACATCTTTCATTAAAATTTCGAAAATATGGCATAAATAATACAGAACTAAAGCAACCTACTAGGGCATTGAAAAATGTTAGAACATATAGTACCAAACAGTATTCATCACCAGCAATAATTATTTTCTCTGAATAAAAGAAGCTTAGAAGTCCCATTGCCGAAGTTCCTGATACCAATAAACATAGTATCAACCAAGGTTCATTTAGTTTACATTGAAAGTATTGCAAGATTGCATAAAGTAAAGGTCCAAAATTTGCAGCTTGTATTGCTAACACTAGATAAGCTGGTAATGTCCAACCTTCAGGAGAAGTAGCGATAAGCACTGGTATTTGAATAAATATCCCATTGATACCAATCCAAGCAGATATGCCGAATAATATTATAAGAAAATGCACGATATAAGTTTCTTTATAGCATCTATTTGAGACTTGTGCAATATCTGTCATTTTGCCATTTACTGTAAGAAAAGCAAATTTTTATATATTCCTGTATAACATTCCTGCATAATGAACAAAACATTAATAATTTAGTAGTATTAACCATCATATAATACTTTTTCATAATATTTCCTTAATATTCTCACCTAATTCTTCAAATATAACAACTGAAATAAGATATTTTCACTAAGAATCTCACTTTATATTATATATGATTATAAAACTATTATAAAAAGTACCAGATTGTTAATCAAGATTGTACAGCATTGGATATATTCATGTCAGGGAAACTGATATGATGAAGTCATGAGATGTCTGGTTTCAGGTCTTTCTTAATCCATACAATAAAATTTATCAGATAAAATATAAAATTTGAACAATCATACCTCTTTCAATTGACTTAATGATAATCAAACATTCTATGAAGTATATTTTAATATTCGAGATTATTAGATCATATATCATCATAAAATTAGACATTGTACATTTTTGTAGTAAAATCAATGGTAAATATAGCATTCATTGTGACATGTTTTTATATAGACAAATATATTATAATAAATATATTATAATTGTACATTCTATGTACAAAACAATTTTGTTTAAATATACAGAGCTATATTTTAAGTACATTTATGTCTTGTACATTTATGCGAATCAAGGTCAGAATGGAGATAAAAATTCATTTTAGCTATTTGTCTTAAATCATTTGTTTCATAAAAATTCATCTCTTTGATATTTTACAGCTTAGAGTATAAGCAGGTTTAATACTAGTAATCTATAAAATCAACTTTGGAATTGCAATTGTGTTTAAGATCAAAATTATAAAATCTGAACTAATTCCTACTTGTGTAAATCAACTAGTTCCACCCCCTAGATTTATAAGACTAAAAAATGATAAGACCCTGCTCTTTCATGTATATGTATCATAAGTAACAAGAGCTAAGAAATATATTTTGTTTTCTTAATTAATTTTATACCATTTTCTCTAACAAAATTATTTATATTAAACGTCAATGTACTGAAGTCATTGAACATGGTGAATAAGAATGGAATAGTTTTGCATGATTAACTAAAACAAATGTTATTATTGCTCCTACTAATGATCCAACTTGAGTTGCAACACCAGTATAATATAGACCCCTACCAGGATCAGGTCTAAATAATGTTGTGATACCCAATTTTATAAATCCTATTAAACCACTAATTAATATCCAAGATAGGACTACTAGAAATTCACCCACCCAACTATATTGCAGAGGTGGTGTAGGTGATTCGATAGCTAAGAAACAAACAAAACCAGAAAGTGCTATAAGAATAACCATCAGACCAGATAGGAAACTCACTTTTGGCATTTTAATAACAAAACCTAGACACATTGCCAATGGACCAGCCATCGATGACAATGTAACAGTTAAATGATACGCAACATTTCCATATGGTAAACAGGAATATGATTGAATACTTGGTAATGTACCATTACCTAAGAAACAAACCACTGCCATCATAATTAATAAATATGAATATACTTCCTTAGACATTGTCCAACCAGAATTGGTTTTATAACTAGGAGGTGCTCTTGTATCTGTTGGCAATGTTTCCATGCTTGCTGGATGTTTCACACGCTCTCCAATGGCAATAGACAAATTGTTCAGTCCCAAGAAAGCCAAGTAACACAAAAACAACAAAGTACCAATAAAAATAAAGAAAGTCTGACTTGAAAATCGGGGTTCTGGATAATAAGGTGTGAGTTCTATATGAGTAGACTCAGCTTTAGTATTATTTAAACATTCTGGGTTTCCACCAACACCTTGGATTAATGCCACTACACTCGGCACAAATCCGCTAAGTCCTTCTCCTACAAGATAGGATACTAAATAAATTTCTCTATAGTTCCTCATGTATGGCATGAAAAGAACTGAACTGGTACATCCAACAATTGCAGTTACAAACATCAATGACAGCAAAGCAGTGGAATGCTCATTGCCAAATATTATCGTTGTTTTATTATATACAAAAGCTAATATAATAGTAGATAGTGCTCCTGCTGCTAGGAGGACGTAGGTAATGTATTTATCACATGCCCATTTACTATATCTAAAACAGAAAAATAATATATATATATATACATATATTTAGTGAGCTGTAATATTCATATATTATAAACTGAAAATATTATTTTTAACATATACATACTTTATATATAACGTATACAGTATTGGTCCCAAGTTGGCAAATTGTACTAGCATAACCATATGAGCTGGAAGACTCCATCCTTCTGGAGCATTGTTCACAAGAAGTGGTAGTTGAACATATATACCATTCACACCAATCCATGCACCAAGCCCAAACATCAGTGCAAGCAGATCAACTAACAACCTTCTGTTACTTAATTTTTGGCTCAACATGTTCTGTGTTTTGTCATTCATCAACAGTGGGTCTAAATAGGTCAAATGACCTTGCTGATGAATTTTTTGCTCTTGCACTGCCGTTTTTAGTCCGTTTTTTTAAAATTAGTTAATTTTTTTATAGAAAATGTGCATACGCAGCATATGGGAGTAGAACTGTTCTTTCTTATGTTCAAAATTTTACAATTGCAAAATATAACCTCTAGAAAGATCTTATTTTTATCTTATTAATGACAAGTATGAGAAAAATAATTCATTCGATGTATTAGTTGATAATGACTTTAGAAGACACTTTTATTTAATACTATTTCGGTATTGAGGCAGGCAACTCGTTGTATTACGACGATCTTCACATCCAAAGAGATTTTCTTGTAAAATAAAAATTTTTTAAAATTAGGTAACAAATTTTTAAAGTCATGAAAGATCACTTGAACGTCATCACAGAACACATTTTTTTCAACACATTTTTCTTCTTTTTTCTTGTGGAAAACATAACCTTAAAATAACAAACAAACGTTACAGCCACGACGACAGGAACTGAATGAATTCGGTGTTCGCAAAGTGCGCATGTATGTATATAGTTACTTTTAACTTTTCTGCGACTGCGTGTAGAAAATTGTTGGAAAAAATTAATGATCCAAAGATGGTAGCGATTATAATATGATAAAATTGTGATACGATAATCTGTATATCGCCACGGCCGCAATACGACTATAGTCTTTGTTGATTAATGATTGACTTTAATAATTATATAATAAATAATTATGCACTTTCACTACCATAGTTATGGATAAATTGTTAGATATACAGTATAATTTAAAAATGGTATCAGTTCTCACATTTTTTTTTAACTATGTTCCGTTGACTTTGATAACTCGCATTAATGAATAATAATTAAAACCCTCCTGATGGTTTCTGTGGGCGGGAGGGAGGCACTTAGGGAGGGAGGCTGTAATAGCGCAGAGTTTGTTTCTTAAAAAGATGGCCAAATTCATTTTTTGAACTTTTTCCCAGAAATTGTGCAGTTCATGGTACAATATGTCTGTTTCTGATTTGGTTCAGTCATGGAATGTAATTGGTTTTGGTTGGAACATTTTTATTGATATCTTCTACTATATTATTTTTACGAAAATTGATATCATCCTAAATTGTCTAATATAGAATGCGAACGGACGAAGTACAAGAGAACGTAAGTTTTTTAAAGCAAAAAGCAAGTAACTATAGATGTTCATGCAATTGTATAATATTAGTAGTTTGTAAGACTGTTTATCATAAAGATTAATACTTAAATCGTAGATGGAGAGGTTGAACGAAATAAATACCACCATCAGTTGAATATAGCAAGAACTTTATAAAAGACGAGGCAGACTCACAGATGGTTTAAGTACATTAGTATATGTCTCAAAACTCTGAGAAACGTATGACGGTTTTGCATTCGCATTTTTTTTATTCTTTTTTTCTTTTTTTTTGTATCTTTTTTCTCTCAAATAGATCACACGCATGAAAAAGGTTGTTGCGTAAAGAGGTGTGTTTACATCGTGCGTAAAAAGTACGAACATACATCAATCGAAAAAGAGTCGTTAGACAAGGATAAAAGCTGAAAAAGGAAACGCTCGACTAGATCGTTCGATGAACTCTCTCGAGTCGCCGTGTTACGGAATATCGCCAAAAATTAATATTTAAGGTGTTTTTTTTTTTTCTTTCTGTGCAATTATAACGACCGAAAGTTTCTGACGTTATCGTAAAAAACACAAGTGCAAACGGTCGTTGATTGTTTTGCAAGTCATTTGCCATTTATCACTTGTCAATTATTATCTTATTTTTAAACAAGTACTTTTCTTTGTTTACCATTAAAATTATTACAGGGGGAAAATACGACAAGGTTTGACGCAGACGAGCGACTTTTATCGTTGCGATCTCGCTGTAATCGCATGTCTTTCTTTGTTTTTTCAGTTAAAAACAACGCAGACAGATATACGATCGCAGCGATATCGCAACGACAAAAGTCGCTCGTTTTGCACCGGGCCTAACGACGCGAGGATAACAGTGCGAAAAGTATCGGCACGTAACACGAAGGAGAGAGTTTCGTCGTTAAGAAAAAACGTGACGTTCGCTCCCGTTGAAGGAGCACCAGGAAAAATATATCGTTCAACTTACTGTAAGAAAAATTATTTCGAGTAAAGTAACTCGCATCGCAGGCGATCGTAGTTCGTGAACTAACATGTGAGCGGTCCTTTCCGCGAAAACGAACTAGGGAATTGATATTGTTTTATGGCGTCATCATCCGTCAGCGCGCTACGATGTTCTGACATGTAACTGCAAGGTTCCGTTCACATAGAAGATTAAGAAGTGTATGAAAAATCGGCTTTTTGGTGTTTCGATCAGAAATTTTGTCTATCATTCACCATCGTTCGTCAATCGGGTTATGGAGCGTTCTTTCAATGATACGGAAAAATATCGTTTTATAGACTTCGACAGAAAAGAGAAGGAAAGATAGTCAGCAGAGTGTTTTAACATAAAAGGTAAAAAGTTCTAGGAAAACTAAACAAAGTTTAGGAAATGAAGCGACAATTTGAAGGAAAGGGCATCGCGAGGTATATGTTCGCGTATCTCGTAAATAGTCATCAGGTCCCAGTCATAATAAGTTCTACGAATTCTGCAGGATTTTTAACGATAGAT